TCTACGTTGATGGGTAGAAAACATGATTTGGGTGCGGGGGAGGGGGGGTTCTTCTTTGTGTTTGTCTCAAAAAGACCCAGAAAGTCCTCAAAATCACATTTTAAACTCAAAAAGCTGTTAAGCTTGTCTGCAAGACGAGCGCTCGTCCATGGGGTACGAGCGCTCGTAAGTAGGGCAGTGGGTTTTTTCCTTGGGCGTGCTCATCTACGAGCGCTCGTCTGTACTGTTCGTGTGTGTGTGTGTTTGGTTCAGCACTGCACCTTCAATTTCTGGTTGTCGTATCTTCTTTGTTTTAACTCTGAATTGGTCCGTTCTTAAGTCTAAATTGACCGCGTCAAAATAAGCTTTCCAATGGTACTAATTAGAGCTTCAGATTCCATTTGTACCTTAAGATATTCAAGTTTTAGTGAAGTAGTATCAGTTTTTGGTTCGAACCGGGATAGGGTTTCCCTTCCTTCGACTTCAAGACTTGATATCTTTGTCGTCCGGACTCCGAATCAAGTGATTCTTGAGTCCAACTTTGTTAATTTTTCATTATTTATCCAATGATGTACACGGGGGTACCCATTTCAGTTTGAAATTACTAATTTACCCTTTTAGCCTTAAGTGCTCATTTTTCTTCGTCTTGCCGTTTCTCCTTCATCCGGACTCCGAATCATACGATTCTTGAGTCCATCTTGTTTAGTTTTTTTGTTATATTTTCAGTGGTGTACTCGGTGGCACCCGAATCCATATTTTTAAAAATGACTATTTTGCCCCTGGGGGCTTAATTGTTATTTTTCAATCTCTTACTTCCGCACTTTATTCCTTTAGGTTCTGTGACCTCATGGAAGGTCGTCTTAGGGTCTTAGAGGTGTGTTGTTCCTTGAGAGACCTTTATCTTGTTTCTTGCTTCCGCATTTTTGGATCCGTTTCAGGTCAGGACACACTGGGTTTATAAAAAATCCAGGATCGTCACATCGGCTGGGTGTCTGAGTTTCTGCTACAATGTGTCTGCTATTGAATTTTTTTTTTTACTCATTGTATACCAATTGGAAAGAGATTATATTTATAAGAAAATAATGAAGAACAATACACAAAAAAAAAAGTGAGCATAATTTGATATAGACGAAAATCCTGTAATTTATAGGTATATGTGTGTAATTTGAAAACCTATGTTTTGTACGTATGTATGTGTGTGTATATATATATATGGATATATTTGTAATTTTGAGTTGTTGAGTTTTGTGTGGCTTTGTGTGATGGTGGTGGAACAACGAAGAAGATGGTGGTTGTGGAGGTTGCGGTGGTGGTGATTGTGTATATTGGTTGAGACTACTTTGGTCATTTTACATGGTCAAAGGGTAAATATGTACTTTCATCATATTTGGGGTGTTATTGTCCAAGTTTGCAAACCTGGGGGGTGTCATTGTCCAAAAATGGCTCTAGTTGTATCTACCAGTCTTTTAAGCAAACATGAGGGGATGTCACTGCAATTTACCTTATACATTATATAATACGTATGGTACATACATATATATAGCATTAGGCGAACTCAACACCATGGGTGCATGGCTACTGATGCTCGCGCGGTACTTTAGCGCTTCCCGCAGCTGACTTTAATCCTAGCCATTGATCTCTATTGTTTACTTTGCACCGCGAACCAGCGGATCAGCTCCCTTTACTAAAGTGACCCTTGGCACGCACCAGTCCTCCATCCATGGTGGCTCCAGCTGGCGACTGCGGTAGGCTTGTGGGTGGTGGCCCTGCTGTGATGGTGAACACTTTCTGAGGGGTGTCAATGAGAGTATAATAGTTATTTAAGTAACTTGGTATTTAGGAATAAATAGGATTAAAAAATTAAGAGTAAAGTTGTCTTTTTTATGTTTTTAACGAAGATCTTGATGAAAAAGTAAAACTAGACCTAAGTAATAGTTATTTTCGAAAGATATTTAAGGGTGATATTTAGCCAAACCTGAGAGTGTAATGTTTCCATTTTTCACCATTTTTCATTTTTTCGAAAATTTTGTCTTTGCAAGGGCATTTTCGTCTTTTCTTGTTTTGCGTACCAGACACCGTGGGTGTGCCAGATGTGTCCGAGAGTTGTTTCGGGCGTTTTCTTGAGTTTATGACTCTTTGAAATGTAAGGTTTGTTATTTTTGAATTTTTTAGTTTTTCTGACCGGACGACCTCGAGTGGGACCCGTTACCGGAATTGTTACGTACGGGAATTTCAGTTGGGTCCATTTGCATCTCATTTATTTTATTTAATGTGTTTTATGTAGTTTGTGTATATATATTGTGGTGAAAAATTAAAGTTAAAAAGAACAAGAAAAGTCAAAAATGAAAATTTTGTGGTGGAACCCACTTTCCACTAATTGAATAAGTGACCAAGAGGCCATTTTAGCCTCATTTCCTTTCTCTCTCCCGTAAGTCTCCTCTCTCTCCTTCTCTTTCTCAATTTTCTTTTTTTCTTTTCTTCACAAATTTCAAACTCCAATTACTTCTTCAATTCTTGGAGTTTTTGGGTGCCGTTTGCAGCAAATCGAAGAGCACGGTGAGATCTATACATAGATATAAGTAATTCCTTGTTTGGTGCACTCTAGGAATTTTGAATTTAGGAACCATTTTAGGAATTTTTGCATCTTTAGAGGTAGGAGTCTCTAATCCATGTATTTTTTGACCTTTGTGAGTTAATTCTTCACTAATTGTTGCCTAGCATGCTTAATTTGTGTTGATATTTTTTTAGGATATATTTGTTGTGTTTGAAGCATTTGAATATATGTATTTGTTGATTTGTGTGAAAGAGCATGCTTACATGGTAGTATTTCATGCCTAAAGTGTTTAATTTCATTGGAAATTGTTATATAGAAACATATTGAATTGTGTAGTAAAAAATTCATTATTTTCATAGTATTGAAAACATGAGACATTCATGCATATCATTGGGCATAAAAAGGGAAGGATTGGTTTGAAATGAAAGAAAAAGAGGGATTTTGGGGAAAGATTTGATAAAAAGGGTTTGAGAAAACCTGGATGCCGAGGAGGTACCGAGGGTTTGTGGTGTTTATATAACCTAGAGGGAATTAAGGAAATTACCCTAGCGTGGTTGAGCTATTTGGGCCCCAAATAAAGCCGCAGGGTTACCAAGGGTCAGGGACAGTAGCCAATTATTCTCTCGTGTCGCTGAGGAGTCACCGAGGGACGGGTTATATTAACGGTTTGAAAAATGATGGATGGTTTTGAAAATGGGGAGCGACATAGCACGACATTGCATTTCTTAGCACCACATTGCTTATTTTTTACTTGAAATTGATGTTGTATTTCTCAGCATAGCATGATCCCGTTCTCTTTTGTTCTATTCATTGTCTGGATTTACGGGGTCACAAGAGGTGTGCCTTAGGCACCATCTACTGAGCAATTTACTCACCCCTTATATTTAACATTTTCAGGTTACGGGAAGGAGGTGGCGGATGAAAATCCTCTATAAGTTTGAACGGAACTTGGAGTTCATTTCTTTTGCTATCTTTTGTATTTGAGCCATTCATTTTGTAAAGCAATGTCTTGAAAATGTATTAAGTTTGTTTAGCATGGCCATGTAACGTAACTTAGAGCTTTGACTCTATTTTGATTTAAATGGAACTAAATATAATAACAGTGTATAGTACTTATTTGAATGGAGTTAACGAGATGGCTTTGTAGTATATTATTGACATTCACGACCATGAAATGAAAAAGTCATTTTGTAGTGCATTGGGACAGGTTTAGAGCATTTTCAAAGTTCCCTACCAAAGTTTCATAATTTTCTCATTCTTAGCTGTCCAGTAGCAGGTTCAGAGCTCGAAGGGCCATTTCGGCTGACCGAAATTGGCACTTCGGTCGGCCGATCTTTCCAGTAACTCAAGTTACTGTTGGGGCCATAATCGGCCAACCGGAATGGCCATTTCGGTCGACCGGTGCAAACCTCATTTTAGCCGGCTGAAGCTACATTTCAGCCGACCGAAATAAAGCTGTTTGTGGCACTTTACTTCTTTTCTCGTGTGTTTTAATCTTGAACCTTGAAATGTTTCCTAAAGCCTTCTTCGGACATATTTAAAGTATAATGATGACGTATGGTTACTAGATACGTCATGAATTGACTTAGATGACTTCGGATTCGAATAAGGACCCCGTTAATTGTTCGGACCTACGGGTTCGGGTCGTTATAGAGGGGATGTCAATAAAATTAATCCAATAAAAAATTTCCATTTTTATGGATTTCAATATCATATACTTTATAATTTTGAAATTTTAAAAATAAAATTTTATTATTTTTATAAGCCAGAAAAAAATAGGTGAATTTTGAGCGGTGAGAGCAGAAAAATATAACCCCGATAGAATTTTGATTCCACCATTTGACCGTGACACGTTGAGACGGTGACACCTAACACCTTAACGAAACGAAGCCATCAAATTTGACATTGTACCTTCTCCGCAGCCTGACGTGGCAACTGCCCACAGTAATATTCAAGAAACCATTGGGATCTCGAGAGATGACTTGGATCTTTGTCACTGTTACTAGTTGTGGATAATATCTTATACCAAACGGTCCAAACCCCATCCGTATTATTTCTCAAATACGGGAAAATTGTCATTAATTAGTAAGGCTATTTTCCCTCCAGTTTTAATTGATACCACTCCAGATTTTCCTTTCACTCCTTTTTTATTTTATTTTTTTTGTTATTTTAGAATAAATGATAACCTTATCCAGTAGTCCCACTTGTTTTTCTTTTTTATTTTTCTAAAAACAATTATTTATTTAATTTTGCATCATAAAATATTCATCAACACAATATAATACCAAAACACACACCATCAGCGAAAACAAAATAAAAAGAGGACCCAAAGTCTAAAAAAGGGCAAACAAACTGCCTAGCGTGGAGATAGCAATTTTATAAAGAAAAGTAGCACTAAGAAAAAAGAAATGAAAGATAAAGACATTGGAAAACGAGAATCCTTATCCATCGTCATCCCCATCAACAATCCATGCCCTGGATAAAGACAAACTCTGCCCTCACGCCATCTACACCTACACCTGCCCATTTATTCTTTCTTCTCATTTTCTGGGTATGACTATTGCTTTCTCTCTTTCTTATAAATACCATACATACCCTTCATCACCATCTCCACTTCTCATTCAACAAAACTGTTAAGATCTCATTGTGTTGTGTTTCTCATCCTTTCTATTTCAATTTATTGTGGGTTTTTCATATATATAACAAAAAGAAATGTTGGCTATATTTCACAAGGCCTTTGCTAATCCACCAGAAGAGCTCAATAGCCCTGCATCTGTCAATGGATCCAAGAAACCAAAGCTTCCAGAAGAGACTCTCAAAGAGTTCCTCTCTGCTCATCCCACCAACGCTTTCTCAATGAGCTTCGGACACGCCGCCGTGCTCGCCTACGTCCGCCAAGACCAGACTTTCTCTCTCCACCAGAGGTCTTTTTCTCTTTCTCTCTCTCTCTCTCTCTATATATATGTATTTACATATATTCATGTAATTCATCTATATAGATAGATTAATATGCATCAGTTGATCTTATGGGCTTGTTACCACTGCAGGTTATTTTGTGGGTTTGATGAAATTTATTGTCTCTTCTTCGGGAGCTTGAACAACCTGTGCGCTCTGAATAAACAATATGGGCAATCAAAGAACACAAACGAAGCTATGCTCGTGATCGAAGCGTACCGGACTCTCCGTGACCGGGGACCTTATCCGGCTGATCAGGTCGTCAAGGATTTTGAAGGAAGCTTTGCCTTTGTTGTCTATGATAGCAAGGCAGGCTCTGTTTTTTCTGCACTGGTATGTTGGTTGTACTAGTTTTTTTCTCAAGCTGTTTATCTATTAGATAGATATTTATCTCATATTTTAAAAGAGATTTGAAGATTCATCACTCAAATATGTATTTTTGATACCTTTCGTGTCTATACAAGTATATGGCTAATACTGATATTTTGGACGTTGATTGATACAGGGTTCTGATGGTGGAGTTAAGCTGTTCTGGGGTCTTGCAGCTGATGGCTCTGTGGTAATTTGTGACGATTTGGAGGTCATAAAAGCAGGCTGTGCCAAATCATATGCTCCCTTCCCATCAGGTATGACAAGGGTATTTTAGTCGCCCTGAATTATTGAAGATATTCCAGGAGAGTGGATATGATAGAACTGACATGCATTGTGATGTGTGTGAATGCAGGTTGCATGTTTCTCAGTGGAGGAGGATTGATGAGTTTCGAGCACCCGATGAACAAGATGAAAGCAATGCCTAGGATTGATAGTGAAGGGGTGATGTGTGGGGCCAACTTCAAGGTTGATAAGTACTCAAGGGTTAACAGCATCCCACGCGTTGGAAGTGAAGCCAATTGGACTGATTGGAACACAAATTAGCTGACGCAACACCAACATTGATGCTTCAACCAACCAATCTTCTGCGTTACTTTCCTTGTATTTTCCTTTCGTTTCCTCTTTAGTTTGTACTAATTTCCCAGTGAGCGTGGATACAGGGTTTTGAGAGAATGATACATAAATAAAAATCACTTTTCACATGCATCGTTTCAAATTGCATAGGAAAATTAAAAAAAAAACATACAAGGTGTGTTTTCAGTATAGCCAAATATATATTGAATTGCTGATACATAAAAGATAAAATGATTCGACAAAATAGGTGTTCATTACCAACATCAAGCAAAATGTACTTCCTTTTGCCATAAAAGGAAAAAGGTAATTAGGAGGAAGGTTGATTGAAATGTGATAAAAAGAGGTCCCCTTACTTTGGCCTGCTTGGTTTTTATCATTCTTTCCACATTTCTGCAAACTCATCAGGCTTCAAAGGATTTGATCGCTCATGCATCTTCCTCCTGCTCTTGGCTTTGACTTTCTTAGCATACTTCCCAGCCTTCTTTCTCTTCTCCAATGCACGAATCTGAAACCATAAGATAAAGAATCACAGATTAAATTATGAAATGAAAGATAGTAGAATAAGATGAATGTCTGTCCATCGTCCATACGCATATCAATTAGGTCATAAATACATTGCATCAGATGAATGTGCATGCCCATACACACACATCAAGGTGGGTTGCCAAGGACCTGAAAAAAAAGACATGAGCCCTACTGATCTCCCGTCAAAGAGAACACCCTTTTCACCAAGCTAATTGATATAGAAAATCTGGATTATCCAACCACCTATCTGATTCTTAAGATATTAATTCTGGTTTAATATAATGTTGATCCCTCAACTTATCAGGTTGGAATGTTTGTTGGAACCATTATGTTGATCTGACAGCTTATGGGATTAATTGTGTTTAAAAAATTCTATGAAAAAGAGATCAGGAAAAAGCAGCTGTGGCTACCAGCCAGAACACATCAAAGATCACTATCCCAACAGACACAATCCATGATGGTAGAAGGGCAAAACCATTTAACAATCTTTGAAACAATGCAACAAAACTTGAGCTTTATAGACCAATGTAGAAGTATAAAAATCGCCTAACCTCATTTGGTGAAATGTAAAACGGATTCTCGTATAAAGTTGGGCCTCCAAAGCTGCCACCAAATATCTTGATAGGATTCAAACAAAATCTTGGACCAACCTATACCACAAACACAGATGAAATTAGTTTGCAATAATTTACAGGTACCTGATAAGACATGTTGATCAAGGGGAATTGCTGCAAACCTCAACGAGTGTCATTTTATCCAGTGACCCTCTGTCCATTTTATCAGCTTCAGTATGAGGAACAGATATCTGTTTTGAAAAGTGAAGGAACATTGTTACTATCATGAATTGTGTTTTCATATTAAAGATTGAATGGTATGTTATTGAAGAAAACTGAACGCAGAACTTGGTTCCAGAATCTCACACAACTGCTCTTGCAGCTTAGTAAAATAGAGTACTTCAAAATTACATCACATCTATAACCACTTGAAATGAAGGAATTTGGTTTCTTATTTCCAATTATGATAGGCTGCTTTCTTGGGAATCAGGTGTTATCCACATCTCATACATGTAAAATGATGCAAGAACATTGAAAACATGTCACCAAATTGAAAACCATATGCATGGGGTCCAAACCCACAATAAACAGACCATATGGTTGCTGGTGGCTAGGGACTTAAGACCATGACTATCAAATAACCTAATATTTGGTAAAGAAGATTAGTCCAGGAAATCAGATCAGCTCAAACAAATGGAATGGTATTAGTTTCTTCTAGTTCATGCCCAAAAGGGATTAATGATTGGGAATTCTAGGTCACTAAACAATACAACTTTACATAGAATTTTTGTGGTAAGCTAATGTTCATCAACCATTAAAACTTTATGTTAGTAGTCAGTGTCAATCTAAACACTCCTTACCCAAAGCTGTCCAAGATTATTATGCGAATGAGTTCACCCAAATAAGTGCTAAAGCAAAGAAATTGGTTGCATTTTGAACTCAAAAAGTTCACTATCTATAGGTAACATTTTGTGGACAACCACATCACGCTAACATTATAAACCACAAAAACTTTATAATTGGAGTTGGTGTGAATCTCAAGACTCCTTATCTGAAACTGTCCAAGCTTATTATATTAATGAGTTCACTCAAACAACTGCTAAAGCAAAGAAATTGTTTGCATTTTAAACTCAAATATTTCACATCAATTGGTAACATTTTGTGGACAATCACATATTTATGTAAGCAATTATACATGAGCAAGTGACACTTTTGCACATAGATATGGAAATATAAGCAAGGGACAGTAACAACAAGCATTAGATATGGTAGGTTCGATGCCTTCAAACTTACAAAGTATACAAACAGTAATTATAGATTTCATGAGGATTATCGCCAACCTGGTAATTCCGGAACCATATGTGATCATCAACGATTGAGAATACAAATATATGGTCATGATAGGGTTTAGATTTCCTGTGATCCTTTGGAGTCCCAAATATCTGACAAATAAAAAAATTGAAGCAAAAATTCAAAGGAGTATCAGTTATAATAAACTTGAACAAATATGTTTCATGGAAACAACTACTTCACAGAATGATGGACATTATCAAATTAAAACAAAATTCATTTTAAAGAAAATGATACCTAAGATGAAAAAAATTGTCATCATATAGTATAGAAATTAAATACATGTGGAGCACATACAACTTAGGGAGCACCACTAGGTATCCCAATAGCTGGATTTAACTCATAATTGTACTACCTTAATCTGAGACAAATAATAGGTTTTGATGCTCTCTCAAATGTACAAAGTTCTAGAAAGATGGAGATCTAGCACAAAATTTTGAGACTGAGTATCTTAAATATCTGTAATACTATGTCCATGAATTGGATCCCCGACTCGCCTATTTTACCTCAAGGTACCTGTGTCGACACAACAGGATAGCCACATGGGTACAATATATGGGCCTACCAACACATGCATCTGTGTGCCATATACACAAGGAAAAGAAAAAAGGAAGAAAAAGAAGAGAAAATTAAATAAATATTACATCTATTAGATCTCTTCAAATTTAGGATTTTTAGTTGATGGAGTATACCAGGCTGTTGAAGGCCACAATCACCAAAATCAGAGCAAAAATTTGATAGAAGTATTTGATAGGATCAAGAAGAATTAAATGATGAAACAAAAATGGCAGCTAGTGGATCTCATCAAAAGCTTTTGTTCTAGTTGCTCTCAACTTCTCATCAGAGAAAGGGAAACATTCCTCCCCAACTTTTTTTTTATTTTTTATTTTTATTAAACTTTTTAAAATGTTATTATTTTCTATATTCCTCTCCAACATTTTTTTCCTTCTTTGTTTTGTGTTTTCAATGGTAAACTAACCTCTAATACTAACATAACATGAGACGTGTGTGGGTGTGTGTCCACGTTGCCATACCTAAGAAATTCTGAACCCATAGGATTAACTGATTAAGTAATCCCAACACTTCTACATGTACCAGCACCCGATATCAATAACATGAACTTGGAAAAATTACAATCACAGACAAAGTCAGAGACTCGGAGCACTGGTGACAATTCACATCTTAGCTTTTCCCTTCCCAATCGTAAGCCAATTTATATACCACATGAGGATTCAAACTCCCATGATGAATGACAAATAACTGCAACAACAGGGCTACAACTTGAAAAAAATTAATATGCCTTGAAAAAAATTAATATGCCTTGTCACTGAAGTAGCATTCATTAGGATCTAGGTTCAAAACTTTCCCTTCTTTTACCTTTAGTCCAAATTTGCTCTTGCTATATATATATTTGAATTTTTTCACAAGCAAATGAACAGGTTTTTATCGATGCTGAGAAAGTATAAGACTGCAAAGCCAATTCCACTAAAAAAAACAAAGCCAGAACAACATTACCTGCATGATCATCTCTTTCACAAGTTTCCAGTGGGCATCTTTTTCAAAATTGGTTGAGAAAGTCAAAATAGGCCGTGAACCTTTCAGATGATTTCCAGTAAGCTTCAACTCTTCCATCGTATGCACTTTATAAACAAATAAAATTTCCAATAATTAGGCCATTTTTGTCAGTGCTTCAGAAAAGATATTGTTAACATCTAATCGCATGTCAGAATAACCAACTCATAATTTCATAGGATTACAAAAGCTGCTTCAGAACTGCAAGAACTACACATCTAAGGCAATTTAAGTCTCATGTCTCCATATTGTTTGGAAACAAAACAAAATATTACCGGCATTAACCAAAAACTTCACAGATGGACCACTTGGGCACCTAGCCATCCATAGATAAAGGTCTTTTTGTTTTCTGCACTGAAAAATGAGACATGACAAGGTATAATCAATTCCATGAAAGCTACAGCACTTCTATTCCTCTGGTTTTAAAACTCCAGAATATTTTAATCACAAAGCATCAACCCAGAAATCATGTAAGTGAAATCTATATAAAATCACAAACCAAATCTAAGTAAATATATATATATATATATATATATATAAATCACAATAAGCGAAGAAGATCGATATCCAATACCATGTTTATCAATGACATGGCATAATTCTGACAACTCATCAATGACACAAATAGAAAGATCAGTGTCAAATGAACGAGAGAGATAGAGAGAGAAAGAGAGAGAGAGAGAGCACCACAGAAATAACAAATACCAGCATAAAAAATAGCAGCACAAATAAAACAGCATTTACCTCAAAAAAGAGACAAGATGAACAGCCTTTTAGTTCAACTAACTCATTCAAAGTTGCACCTTTACTTTCTTTCGATTCAACTTTGTTATCCTTCTTACAATGAGGCAAAAGTGATACCACATTCAACATCAAATGCCGATACCTATGAATAACAAAATTGATAAATGCAACTTTGAAATGAACTGATCAATGGAAATTCCAATAAAAGAAAAAGGTAGAGAAGAGACACCAATTTCCACCTGTAATTAATGCGGCGAGAACAAGTAACCAAAACCTTTTCCTTATTTCTAAAAACCATAGAATTACTTTCTTTATCCTCAACCTTGTCTTTCCAACCCAAAAGTGTCCGTTTAGGTCTCTCTGGAGCACTTTCATCCTTCCCTACAAGGGTTGCAACCCCGGTTTCACTGTGTTTTCGCTTCTTCCCCATCTTCTATAAAAATCTAACAAACAAGACAGGAAAAAAATACAAGAATATGCATATAATCACTTAGTCAGCTACAATTAACTCTTTAAACTAAACACCTGTTTAATCTCCAAATGCACCTTTAATAGTTAGATAACCCTCAAGATATAGACAATAAATTGACTCATGTAAATGATAGGCATCCATATGCATAGAAGATTAAAACATTCTTTTGCTTCGCCCTCCCCCAATAAAAAAGAAAATAATAAAAAATATATACAAATTCTCTGATAAATATACAACACAAAGAGTTAAAGTAGCCTAGATGTCATAAACAAAGAAGCAATGATAACCCGAGAAAAATATCAATGGCTAGACAGAACACGACCACAACCATCCAATACACGTCAGGAGATTTTGCAAGTTCTGTATAAATCATAAAAAATAACCATTTTTTATTCGATAAATTAAACAATAACCAAAATTTTAGAACTTATTGAGACAATTATTGTAAGGAAAATTATCAAAGCATTAATTTCAAGGAACATGTTAAAACAAAATGGCTAGTGTGACAGTATTCATTGCTTTAACCAAAAGCATGGTAGAGCAGGTCCTTTTTAACATACTGTTATTTTCTTTTAAGAATATGCTTGGACTGAGTTTTTTTTTTTTTTTTTTTCACCCTCTTTTGAAGGGAGGGGGTGGAGGAGAAAATAAAAGGAATAGAGAGAAAGCTTAAACGATGTTCAAGAAATAAGAGAGGGAGGAAGGAAATGATGTTTTCCTTTCCTTCCAAAAGTGGGAGGAAATTAAGGGAGGGATAAAGTAGTTATTGCTTACTAACTATATCCCTCATTTCTTTACAACAAGTCAGGAAGTGAACCTTATTTTGCACCTTCAACTCTCTCTTTTTTTTTTACATCATCTATCTTACCCAAACAAGAGTATTGGTAACAATTATCATTTCTATTCATTATCTCCCTAATTTCTAAAACAAGAGAAGGGTTGTCACCATCCTTCATTTTCTGTCTTTTTTCTGCTAGCTTATTCTATCCTTCCCTACCCTTTCCTTTTTCCTCCTCGTTCTCCAAATTGACTGAAAGGACAAAACCCTTCAGTCATAACAAATCATTGGACCATTTTCTTGTTAGTAACTCCTTAGAAAAAATTAATTCGCCAACATTAGGAGGGGGATCCATATCCATGAGAAGCAGTCCGGCAGAACGATATTCCAAAATGCAAGAATGGCGAAGTATTTTTACAATTGATTGCATTTAAATCACTCAAAAATACCGGAAATTATACAAACCGTGCAACCAAAACAAATTACCCTCAAATTGTACGAGCTAGCAATATTAAAATAACCGGCAAGTATTTTGACCCAAAAATATGGCAGTTCAAGTTCAATTGACTTGCAAATGATGATGGTCTGTGTGTGCGTGTTTGTGAATATATATGTGTGTGCGCGTGCGTGTATATATGTGTGCGCGCGCTAATAACTAAACAGGTAATGATGTAAGCGATTCTGAAGCTGAACATACAAAGAGAAGTTGGAGGTTGGGGGGTTTACCTGAAATCGTCAACGGAGATTGGGGTTGCAGAGAAGTTGCGTAAAAACCCTAAACCCTGAAAGGTGCTTAGTTTTGTCCCCAAACCCAAAGCGGGTTCTATTTCTTTCTGCGAACTTTATGTTTAACAGCGCCCAAAGGCTCAGGCCCATCGCAATGTAGGTTTCCTCATTTATTATTATTATTATTATTATTATTATTATTATTATTTTGTTTTAGTAAATTACCATCAAGTCCTACTTTTCTTATTGAAAGACAAATAAGTTCTAAAAAAAATTCCCTTAGGACTAATAAGTTCCATTTTATTATTGTTTTTTTTTCTTCATTTAAGTCCTAAATCACTATATCTTTCAATTATATACTTTGCTAAATATAAGTCAAATTTTGTAATTATTATTTTTTTCAAGAATTAATATATAATTATTTATATATATATATATATTCATTTAAGGTTTATTTTTCTTAATAATATTGTATTATGAGTGTAAACAATAAATTAATGAATTTTAAATTCAATTCAAAAACTATGTGTACAATACGTGATAATAATAATTTCATAAAAAATTAACAATATATATATATATATATATATATAATTTTCACTTTATTCAATTTTATGTCTAATTTTGTATCATGTATTTGTATACACACAGGGGCGGAGCTAGGATGGCAAAGGAGAGAGGGCTAAAAATAATTAAACTCATGATTGCTTAGTATGTCATCTACACTCTAAATACATAATTATCATGCATCAGTTATTCAATTAAACCCAATAATCTACGACTTTCTAACACATTTACACTTCCAAACTATAACGTATTTTTACAGTCAAAAATCTATTGAAGTTTGTTTTATACAAGTATTAAAACAAATAATTACAAGAATGCAAGATATATATGTTCCTTATCAATAAATTCACATTAGAAAGTAAAACCTATGTGCTTCGCCCTTGACTAGTTATTAATCCATTATATATTAAATTACCCAATTTAACAAGAAATTATTAAGTCATCAACAAAGCCCTTTATATATATATATATATACAAAAATAAAATTCAATATTTCACAGGATTAACAATAATAATTCATGATATCCATTTACTTATGCCTTAGTGCTTTACACACGAAGAGTTTAGGTCTTCTTCGATAGACTAACAATGTGTTTTGATTTACTGGATTGGGCCCTATTATATTTTATTATGGTTTATTTTGTGACTAAGCATGCCTATGGTTTTTGGGTTTGCTCATATTTAAGGTTTGACCTTTGTAAATTTTATAACTCTTTTTATTTATAGAAATACTATGGATTTGACTGAGCTGATAGGAAGAAGAAGAGTAGTACACGGGCTTATAGGAACAATAGTATTAATTTTTTTTTTTCAATTGGACCTGGGCACCCAGGTTAGCCCATTACTAGTTCCTCCCTTATATACACACTCATATATAAAAGTTTGGATCTTATTTAATATCTAATGCAGCAAGAGTATATATAAATTTGTAAGAGTATAAATGAAAATTTTGTAAGGGTATAAATGAAAATTTTATTGATTAACAACTTAAATGAAATAAAAATTTGTCAAAATATAGGATTTATTAGTCTTATACTTCGTTCAATAGGATGAAAGGGGGGGGGGGGTATTTCATAAAAGATGATATAAGGAAATAAATAATAATATGATAGAGAGTCATTATTTTTCCATCACAAAATTTTAGCCATCCAAACATGAATAGAAAGGAGGAGGAAAGACAAGTAACTATTATAAATTTTTTAAATTACAATGCTCCATAAAATATGAGAAAAAACAACAAATACGGATCTAATGGTAAAAATAATTTAAAATCATCCCTTTTAAAGAACAAGATAAATTGTCAATTTCTTCTTTCTTACCTAACAAAAAAAATGAAAGAATGCAATTTTATATACATGGATGTCTCATCCACATCTAATTTTCCCCCTTACATCTAATTTTATTCATTCCCATTGAACAAAACATCAAAAGAAAATTTTTAGAACTTACCCGTCTTTCCACAAGAAAAGTAAAATTTGGTGGTAATTTTTTATTATTTATTTTAAAAAATATTTTGGGGGAATGGTTAGCACATGAAGGAGAGCGATTAGAGGAGAAGAAAAATACCCCCAAAAAAATTGCAGATTCGTCGAGTCCCCAATCTCTATTGAAAAATGATAAAATAATAGAGGCAGGGAACACACCCTAAACAGAATAGGGAGAGAGAGATTAAGCAGCTCTTTGATAAAACAAAAAATTATTAAGTTTGAAAAATTTTAAGAGTTGAATTTTAATCACTTATTGATGAGTTTTGTGTAATATTTAAATTGCGTTATCAAACTCGTTTAATTGAATAAACATATTAGGTGATTGAATTGAGTTTTCAAACAACACGGAAATTTGTTTAGAGTGTGTTTAGTTGTATGAAATTGGAGTATTGAAATTGGAATTGGAATAGGAATTGGTGAAATTTAAAAAAAAAATTGGTTGAACCAATTTTTTTTTTAAATTTTACCAATTTCAAGGCTCCAATTTCAATTCTATGTAGCCGAACATACTGCTGCTTGATTTGTTACTCTGAAAATAATTCTCAATAATTTGAAGAATATAAAGCTGTTTTCAAATAACAATATAAATAGTTTTTAGTAAACTTAACCAAGCAAATATATATATATATATATTTTAATTTTCAAAATTACAAACCAAGTATGTCTAGGTTCAATGTTTTGAATTGCTCTTCCTTAATTCTTCAAATTCCAATTCCAGAACTCTAATTCCGTACGACAGCTAATTTTATTTATCTTTAAATAATTATTAAAAACTAAAAAAAAAAAAAATACTTTTATCAAATTAAAAAAAAAAAACACAAAAATTATACAGTAAATCAAACAAATATTTGTACCATGTTTAGTTTTTGTAAAAGATTTTTAGAAAAATCAATCAAGCCTTTCGAAAAGCTTCATCGAGAAAACTCCAAGAATCAGTGTCACCTATTCCCTTACCACGAGAAACGCGATCCAGTGATCCACGCGTGTAGAGAGGGAAAGTAGTACATAGATAGATATGGCAGACCGTTTCTTCCCCAACGAAATGCCTGATTTCGAACCAGAAACGGTGGTACTCGAAGCAGCAGCTGGAGATTCACTCACAAAGCTTCTCTCCCTTCCCTACAACACCGTCGCCGAGAGACTCAAACAGGAAGCTTTAGAACTCAAACAAACGGTAATACACTTTTTGTTTGTTGAGTTGCGAATTGAGTCCCGTTATGGGTTTTGCATATGTTACTTGTTGACATAGAGAACTGCCCACCAAGTGTTTGGCGTGTTGTGGGTTTGTTTCAGGTTGTGAGGAAGACATGGGGACTTGGTGGGAAACGCGTACAGGACTACACTCTCTACACAGGGGCTCTTGGGACTGCTTTCCTGCTCTTCAAAGCTTACCAAGTTACTAAGAACAAGGATGATCTTAATCTGTGTTCCCAGATTGTTAAAGCTTGTGACTCTGCCTCTCGCGGTTCTGGGTACATCTATTTCTCCCCCCCAAAACTATATGTGTAAATTGTTTCTCGAGTACAATTGGTAGCTCAAATTGTTTGGAATTATGCACCTAACTGCGGGTTTGATACTTCTTACTCTCCACTGGTACTTCTATTTCTCTCTCCCCAAAATTCTACATGTGTAAATTGTTTCTCGAGTACAAATTGCTAGCTCAAATTGTTTGGAATTATGCACCTAAGAGCGGGTTGATACTTCCTACTCTCCACTGGTGCATCTATTCTCTCCCCCCAAAATTCTATATGTGTAAATTGTTTCTCGAGTACAATTGGTAGCTCAAATTGTTTGGAATTATGCACCTAACTGCGGGTTTGATACTTCTTACTCTCGACTGGAAATGAGCAGTTTGGATCAAATTAATTTTTTATGATTATGGGATTGTTTTATGATGGTTACAGACGTACAATTACTATTTAATTGGGTGCTTAATTTTTGATTGCTTTCGTTACAGGCGAGTAAAATTGCTCACTTAGGCAACCTGGTTTGCTTATTTGGTTAGAATTATGCACCCAGTATTGAACTTACTCCCAGCTACAGTCTGATTAAATAACCAAGTTTGCTCGACTGGGAGGCAGTTTTGTGTGTGGGATTGCTTATACTGGTTAAAACCACAATCCTGTTCATGGTTCCATCTGAACTAACCAATCATTGAAAGTGAATATTATAGCTAACTTTGGTGGCCATCTTTTGTTTGGATTGCTTGGTTGAGATTATGCACTCTTTTGCGGGATTAATCCAAGTTTTATTGTCATACATGAGCCATTTAGCTCAACCAAAGTTGTTATGCAATGTGTGTTATGTTTATAATTTACAATAAAAAAAAAAAAAATCAAAACCAACTGTTAATTCGATTTTAGCAGTTCTACCACAGGATGAAAAGCGATCTACTTTAACTAGGTTTAACTTTGTAATCTGTGGAATAACAGGCGCGTGACATTTATATGCGGACAGGCTGGTGTATGTGCTCTAGGTGCTGTTGTGGCAAAGCACAGTGGTGATGAAGGGCTGTGTCACCGCTATCTGACCCAATTTAAGGAGGTACTTGATGTGCATATATAAAAATGGTAGCTTTTTGGCATGTATGTGCTTGCAGGTATTCATAGATTGAAAGTATTGCTTCTTTGAAGTGCAGATTAAACTTCCTAAAGATCTTCCAGATGAATTATCGTAAGGTAGAGCTGGGTTCTTATGGGCATGCTCATTTTTGAACAAGAATATTGGTGAAAACACAATATCTTCTACACGTATGGTATGATCTTTGAAACCCTTTTTTTTTTTCGTATTTTTTTTTAAATATATTTTTATAGTGTTTTAGCTGTGATGACCCTGTGGGCGGGTGCGAAACACGGATAGGCTGCCACACTGGCGAGCTACGGGTGCACAATCCTACATCGCCTGGGAAAGGGAAAGGTGAAGTACTTATATGTAGGTGTGTCACTCCAATTGTTATGAGGCCTTTTGGAATAAAGCTCAAGAGCAAAACCGTGTTGGTTCAGGTCCAAAACGGACAATATCATATCATGTGGTGGAGTGGGCCATTACAAATGGTATCAGAGCCTGACCCAGCCGGAAGTGTGCCGACGAGGACGTCGGGCCTTCAAGGGGGGTGGATTGTGATGACCATGTGGGCGGGTGTGAGACACTGATAGGCTACCTTACTGACGATGCCCAAAGCAGACAATATCATACCATGTGGTGGAGTGGGCTGTTACATTAGCATCATTTACATAATCGGATTGTGAAATCATTTTTGCAATTGTCCTAAATTTGTGTAGAGAGCAGTTATGGATGAAATGATCAAGGTTGGTAGACGTTTGGCAAACAAGGGAAGATGCCCATTGATGTATGAATGGCATGGGAAGAAGTACTGGGGAGCTGCCCATGGACTAGCTGGGATTATGCATGTTTTGATGGACATGGAGTTGAAGCCAGATGAGCTGGAGGATGTCAAGGGTACACTACGTTACATGATCAAGAACCGTTTACCCAGTGGGAATTATCCTTCAAGCGAAGAAAATGAATCAGACCGTCTTGTTCATTGGTGCCATGGTGCTCCTGGGGTTGCTCTTACACTTGCCAAAGCAGCTGAGGTAAAGTCTTCCGGGAATGCTATTCTCACTATAAATTGTTAATAGCTTATTAAGGTAAAATGGTACTCAAGAAATGAGGGACTATGTATTATCTTGGCAGAAGCTTATTGGGTTTGCATTCTACCAAGGAAATTGATTCAAGAATACTAACACAACTCTTAACTGGAGTCCAAGAGAACCCGTAATTTCTTATAATTGTTGTTGCGGTGAGGGATTAAATAGTGCAAATTTTAGGGGTCGGAGGCAGGCATATAGCCAGCCTATGATTCTATCATTTGTCTTCTGTAGTTCTATCTTGAGAAGCAAATATTTCCTCTATGAAATAGGTCTTATCATGTTCAAAAAGTCCAAATATTGAACAGTGAAGTTTCATGAAGCCATTTCCTGGATCTAATTCCTTAATAACACTCAATTATATGCATTAGTCTCGTACTCTTTTTAATTGAGCAATAAGATTCTCATAATATCTGAGTGTCATGCACGCACGCTATTATAATATTGTCAGGTATTTGGAGGCGAGGAGTTTCTGCAAGCAGCTGTTGATGCAGCAGAGGTGGTATGGAATCGGGGCCTGCTGAAACGAGTTGGGATTTGTCATGGCATTAGTGGGAATGCGTATGTGTTTCTTTCGCTCTACTGTTTGACAGGTAATCTGGAGTTCTTATACAGGGCAAAAGCATTTGCTTGCTTTCTACTTGAGAAGGCTCAAAAGCTTATATCAGAAGGGCAAATGCATGGAGGTGACTGTCCATATTCACTGTTTGAAGGCATTGGAGGAATGGCTTATCTCTTTCTGGACGTGCTTGAACCTTCCATGGCTAGGTTCCCTGCTTATGAACTTTAGTTCTCATCTTGTGAAATAAACTAAACATATGTATGTCACTTCTGTGTAAAAGACTTCAACTTCGTATATATTGGAGGCTGTCCTTGAAAACTTGGCATTTAACCGTTTGGTTTTAATTTCCATTTGAGTTCGTAGATAGTGCATGAGTTTAAATGTCGCAAACTTTATCGCAGTTGAGCTTGTAGATGTGTTATGTTGTGGTCATCGAATGGTATTGGCACACTTTCCAGTTTGAACTGAAATATAAGAATATTGTGGTTTTTCACGTGGTTCTTGTTTGTCACTACTGATTTTTTATTTATTCACTTTATTAGCCCGGGTAATCACATCATCTTTCATTTTCTCTATGCTGAAACCGACACGATAATTGCCTTTGAAACAGAGGGAGCTATTTTATTGACAACTTCAACTCAGAATTATCTAATTTTTAGAAGAGAACTGCTTAGAAAACCACAGCATCCAAATCCAAATTCTGTACCAGATCTACAGAAATGTCCTCTGCTCTCTCAATGGAGATTAGTCTCTTCTAAGCCAAACCAACAAGTTTCTCACTAAGTTCCCAAACCTTACGAGCTTTCTCTGTATCACTAGCTTCTTGAGACAATTGGTTCTCAAATGAAGCTGAGTCCTTGTTCCAGCTCCAGTAGACGCCTGACTTTGTCAAGCTTGGATCGCTCACCACCTTAGTCAGAGATAAGCAACTTAGTTTAGGGACAACATACATTATGATACAAGCACACCCTTCACTTATTTGTCAATGCACTGTGTTATTAAAAATGCCCATATTTACCTGTGCAAGTCTCTTTCCAGCTTCTTCCTCGGAGACATAGCCTTTGGTGATGTACTTCTGGAATGGAGGGAAGAGAAGTCTGAACAAGGGGATGTGCTCCCTGAACAAGCCTGTTGTGGCAATGCAACCTGGGTAGAGGGAAGCAAATGTGATCCCAGTATCCTCATGGTAACGACGGTGGAACTCTTGCATGGTGAGCATGTTGCAGACCTTGCTGTCCTTGTATGCCTTGGCTCCATCAAAATCTCCACCATCGATCATGGATGAGGTGTTTAGTCCGTTCAATCCTCCAGCAAGTCCCCTCAAGTCTCCAAGGTTGGCCTTTGGAGGCACATTCCCAGCCAAGGTATTTGTGTTACCTAATATTCATTACAGAAATCATTACCCATTTAGTACACCTCAATGATACGAAAGAATCCATTTACCATTCACAGTTAAGAATTGGATTCAAGTAGGGAAGCAATGTAGGTCCCCAAAAAAATGGATATATTGTATGAAATATAATTCAATTACAATTGCCAAGCAAACAGGTATTCATGCATAAAATGTTTTTGTCAGTGAATCTGTTATAATGAATTCCTAATACCTGTAATTGAACCGACAATGATGAGTCGCTTTGATGGGTAATCAGATTGCTTCAAGTCGTCGAGCATCAATCGCGAAAGCAGGAAGTGTCCTAGATGGTTCGTCCCAACACTGAGTTCAAACCCTTCAGCTGTAAATGAAGGCTCCTTAGCAGTCGGTTGGTAGATGGCTGCATTGCAAACCAGCACATCAAGTGGTCGACCCGATCGTTTGAAGTTATCAACAAACTGTCGGACACTGTCGAGCGAAGAAAGGTCTAGATGCATAATGGTGTAGTTTTCCTTGGCAATGCCGGCCGACTTTGCTGCTCTTTCAGCCTTAAGGAAGTCCCTGCAGGCCATAATTACATGCCATTTGCCTGTTTCAGCCAAAGCCTTGGCTGTGGCCAGACCTAATCCAGAGGATGCTCCAGTGACCACAACACTGCCCTTTCTTAAGGTCTTCTTTCCTTCTGGTGCAGCCGTGTTAAGGGCTGGAGTTGTAGCCATCACCTGGGCTCTTATGCCTCCAACAGGTAGCTTTCTTTGGTCGAAGTCCCTCTGTAATCAACACTCATTATGCATATGCAACTCATGATACCCCCCCTTTCGAGTATATAAGTTGCACTTATAATTCAGTAATCCCATGGGAGTACCGAATCAGCTATTTGAATTTGGAATCGAAGGAAATTTAGTGAAAATTTTGAACTAAATTCCAAAGCACCCTCCAAAATAAGTATATTTGTAGTGAGATATTAATGTCTCTAACAGAATCTTGAACTGCTAACATTATTAAGAACAAAAATATGCTCTCTATGGAAAAAAGAAGAGGAAGAGAGAGAGAGAGTTGTATAGTTATTACCTTGCACCTTAATGCAGAGCAGCTGAAGTCTGCTTTTAGATGATCTGAGAATGAAAGTCCACATAGACTAGAGTCCTTCAAAGATGCACTGGTCTTGCCCTGCAAACATGGAACATCTCTCAAAATTGAAACTCATAATTGTAATTAATTGCTGACAATACTAAAGAACCCCATGATTGTTATTTGGTGACAGGACTAGAGAACAAAAGCATCCTAATCAGAAGAATTGAAGGGCAACAAACCTCTTTGGAGATGGAGAAAGCAGAGGGAAGCAGGGACGCAGCTTGGAGAGCCATGGGAACCTTCCAATAGAAGCTATGTAAGTAATTTGAGTTGGGTTCCTCTTTACAGTGTGTGTGACTGTGTGTGCTGGAAAGACGGGATATTTTGTAAGAAGTTTTGGGATGTATATGTATATATAGTGTGGGTGGTGGCAGTTTTTGACAAAAGTGGTATTGCAGAGTGGATAAGATTATGTTTTTTTTAGATTTATCTGCCTGTGCCACTTCAATCCCATGCAACCAATCAGGCTTTGAGTTTGGATTTCGATATGATTTTTTCGAAATTATGTTTTGTGCGTAACGCTTGGGATGGGCCTATAAAGGGTTATCTAGGCTCGCCGCCCAATAGTTATGGGCCGGGGCATGGAAAATTTTAGAATTATAGATGCCATTTCGTTGTCAATGGATTAGGATATTGATGGAGAAACCTGGCTTGGAGATCGTTCTTGAAATAACTGGACTGACCTGACCCCACATGTAGGTCTTGGCCAGAGGTGGGCTCTTCCAATTTGGCTCTAACAAGTTCTATTTTATTTGTTTTCCTTTTCAAATTAACCATCAGTCTTCATTCTTCTCTCCTACCTTCAAGATGCAATGAATTTAAGAATGTCACAAGACAGACATTATTGTTTAGTACTCTGGACTTCTAATCTGTCCAAATATATATCATAATAGAGTGATAAAAGGCCATTATTAGTGTGATAGATCGAAAAAGTCCACACTAGCATGAGGGCTAGTGTTGTTGTTGAGATTTTGTCAAAAGGAATTATTTATCAAGGATCATGTACTTTATTGGTATCTTTTCTACCTTTCAAAATGAATATTGAAGGTTGGAATTGGATAGATGCAACGATGCAATGATGTGTGAATTTCTTTTCAATGAATAAAAGAAGAAATGTTACTAATTGTTGCACATGGTATGGTTGCATGAAGTGGGCTGATGGTGAACTCTCACTAGTATGTGTTGTAGGTATGAGGCCAAGGGATAGCCACTGGTGTCAACATAAGAAGTAGGTCATTGTAACGGTATCCTAGTAGGACCTTGGTCAAATGATTAGAAGAGAGCATCCTATATACTTTACTAATATCCCTGTTGTAACTTGGATATTTACATGGTGGAAAGCTGTTCCACTAGTTATTCTTGCGGTAATTGAGACACCTTGAAATGGGAATTGAATATGAAAATTATGATAAGTTGTAATAATTTAAATGTTTTAAAAAAGATTACGGAATTATGTAAACCGCCTTATGATGTCAAGAAAGAGATGGAGAAAGAGATGGAAAATGATAGAATGGAGACGACTCTTATTCACAGCATTTGCTCGAAGGGCATGTAAGTGTATGAAGATGCAAGGAATTCATTTCCATTTTATCTCTCTAGAATTCTTACACTTCAACAGAATGAATCTCTCTCCCCATTACTTCTTATATTTATAGGTATTTACAAACATTAATGGGTTGCTAGATTTGGGCCCGTTCCTCTGTGGGCTTTGGTCATCTTCGATGGGCTATTCGCGTTTGGCCCATATGACAGTATTTTTTTATGGGCTGGACCCAGCTGCTCGGACCGGATGTCATGTTCGCGGGTCATATCCGGCCCATATCACTTCTGGCCTCCTCAACTGCCCCCATAATTACTCCCTATTTAATAAGGGGGTAATTATCAAAGGCGTCTCATCATGACGTTGACGGCTCAAGACACTCTTATGGGGGAATGGACGGTCGGATCCGGAATCAATGTTCCGAGATTCGATAAACTTCTCGCCTCTCTGACGCTTCGGCCCTCGGGTTTACTTCGTCTTTACAAGGCTCTAGAATGTCACTTCATGCCTTTTTACCGTCTCCATCTCTCTCCATCATCAGTCAAATCTCTCGCTTGTCTTTTTAGAACCGTGCTAAGTTTCATCCGGTGAAATTCTTCAAGAGTCACTCTTCCAGCGATCTTGCAGCGTTCTTTGCTGCTTTCTACCCCAGAGGTTAGTCTTGTTCCTTTTTACTTTCAGTAGACTTCTTTTACACTTTTGGATCCTTCATTCGCTTTCACCATGGTTGTAGATCTAGATGTTCTTCGTATGAGACTTAGACTTCCTAACGACATCCAAGTTAGGGTTTGCCCTAGGGATGTTAATATTATGACCGGTGCCGGCCTTCTTCCCGGCGAGGTTTTATTTACTAACCTTCAACTAAATGTCGTTAGGTTCCCTCTGCATCCCTTTTTTAACTATGTTTTCAATAGACTGGGGATATCCCCTCTGCAGGTAAACCCAAATTTCCTTAGAATCATATCCGTTATGTTACTACTGATTCGTGACAGAGGTCTGGATCTTAACCTCATAGATCTTCTTCTTTGCTATAAGGTCAGTAAGATCCGAACTGAAGAGCCATTCTACCACCTTTACCCGATCGACAAGATGTCCATATGTACGGATACAATCAAATCTGAAAAGGGTTGGAGGGATAACATTGTGGGTGTTAGTGGGGCCTGATCTTCGCCGGCTGCCGAGGATTACCCAATCCCGAGCGCCTTTGGCGTCTGTTCTGTCTCCTTGTATAAGAAATTCAAATCTCATAAAAACGATTGTCCCTGCAAAACATGTGTTCCTCGCTTTTGTACTTTCTTATGTCGCTCCTTAGGCATACCTTGTGATGACTTGAGCTACAGTGTTTGCAGGGATATGAGTAATTACTTGAAGAAATACGTTCTGAACGATATTCCTTCTTGCTCAGACCTCCTCACTTCAGACAACATTCTAGCGCTCTCATCCCTCGGCTATACAATGAGCAGGCTTCAGATTCCTTCCTTTGGTAGGAGGAAAAATCCTCCCCCAGCCACTACTGCTGCTGGAGCAACCTCCTCTCCCGCATCAGCCTCTTCTTCAGCCACCATCTCTGACACTATCCCGAGTGTGGTGGCTATTGATCCTGTTGTTAGCACCCCTGCTACCAACCCGTGCACATCTCCACAGATCACTACTACCCCTGCTGCTGCTGGGGGTGTTCGGGACAAAGAGCGAGGCAAAAGATCTCATCCTGACGGTGGAGTCAACCTCGAGGAGGAATCTCTTACAAGGAGGACCCGAGTTTCTGGGCCGAGCGCTCTCTTGCATCGCCCAGTCAGAGCTTCTGCCCCCTCCGGGCCTGTTGCAGCTGCTGCCTCTGCTTCTGCTTCAGCTTCTGCCTCTGCTTCTACTTCTGTTTTACCACCATGGGCTCCTCGATACACCCGAACGGATGGGACGTTCGTGAAGCCGAACAAGACCATGATTAAGGATGGCCAGACCGCCATGGCGTACTATAGGAGCATGTGGACTCCAAAAGACCTTGAGGCAGCGAAGGGTCTGTCACAAAAGGATGTGTTCAGCCGCTTTCCCCAATCTGCCATAGAGGTGACTTTTATTTTCTAACTCATGAATCTTCTCATAATATTTGCTCTTGCCTTCGTCCGACCAGGCGATCGGTTTAACCAGTATTCATGCATATCTATGCAGACTTTGTTCGGTATGATGGCTATGCAGAAACAGGTGGAAATGGGGAATGCCAGGGCCCGTAAATTCTCTGATAGCCTGGATGTGGCTAATAAGGAAAACAATATTCTTGCCAACAAGAACACCGAGATATTGGCTCGGCTTGAAAAAGCTGAAAAAGAGAGAGATGCTCTGAAGAAGGAAACCGACTCTCTTCAGGATGAAAAAGATGCCCTTCAGCTTGAGAAGAGTGTCTGGTAGACTGAGCGCGATTCAGTCAGAGATGAAAAGGCAGAGCTCCAGCGCCTTCTAGCTGACGAGCAGTCTGCTCGGATAGCATTTGAGAAAAGAGTTCTGGACGAGCGCAACGCTCTGATTGACACCATTAGCAGAGTGAATGGTGGCATGTTGGTTCTTCATGCTCGGTTTTCAAGAGTTGGAGCTCTTAGATATGCTCAGGGATTCCGAGATGGTTTTTCTTACCGAGTTCCGGCTGAGGGCCAGACCAGTTCAACTCCGGATGAAATTGATAAGGATCTAGGGATTGACCTTCTGGGGGTCTATGTTGACCCAGAATCCACCGCAGCCGAGCACATATTTGATGAGTGTCAGGAGATTGCTTCCTCCAGGATCACTACAGCTCCTTCTACCGTTCAGCCTCTAATCGCTCTTCCTTCGTCAACTATGGTATCTCCCATAGTCACTGCTGATGTTGGGCCCCAGCAGAACGACTCTGTTATTCATCTCAATTCCCCACCTCGTGAGGGTGAGATGGCTAATGGGAACGAGGAGGCGAGTCAGCACAACCAGAAAGCTGACGGTACCGAGGCAGTTAGCTAGGGCTCTTCAGATCCCTCAATTTCATACTCTTTTGTAGTCATGTGATTTGAATGCTTCACTTTTTGTAACCTCGAAGCTTATTATGAATGAGACGATAAGACTTTTTGTACTATGCTCTGTTCAAACCCACTTTCAATACTTTTTCATATTGACTTTGCTGTGTGAGTGAGTGCCTGGCGCTCGGCCTGAATGCCACACGCCACTTGGCTTTTTTATTTTTAGCAAGTGTTTGACGTTCGGCTCATGGTGCCAGCTGCCACTTATCTTGCTTAAGTGCTTGGCGCTCGGCTAGAATGCTACTTGCCACTTGACTTTTTTATTTTTAGCAAGTGTTTGGCGTTCGGCTCATGGTGCCAGCTGCCACTTGTCTTACTTAAGTGCCTGGCGCTCGGCTAGGATGCCACTTGCTACTTGGCTTTTTTATTTTTAGCAAGTGTTTGGCGTTCGGCTCATGGTGCCAGCTGCCACTTGTCTTGCTTAAGTGCCTGGCGCTTGGCTATTTTATTTTTAGCAAGTGTTTGGCGTTCGGCTCATGGTGCCAGCTGCCACTTGTCTTGCTTAAGTGCCTGGCGCTCGGTTAGAATGCCACTTGCCACTTGGCTTTTTTTATTTTTAGCAAGTGTTTGGCGTTCGGCTCATTGTGCCAGCTGCCACTTATCTTGCTTAAGTGCCTGGCGCTCGGCTAGAATGCCACTTGCCACTTGGGTTTTTTATTTTTAGCAAGTGTTTGGCGTTCGGCTCATTGTGCCAGCTGCCACTTATCTTGCTTAAGTGCCTGGCGCTCGGCTAGAATGCCACTTGCCACTTGGCTTTTTTATTTTTAG